TTCAATGCTGTATGGCCCCAGTTATGCACAGTATATATGTGACTGTATGAAAATGGAAAATAAAAAGACATTTTACAAAAGGAAATGGGGCGAAAGGCCCTTTGTGCCTCCTGGAAGGGACGTTTCTGACTCCCATTTGACAGGAGGAGCCCCTCGAGCAGCTAAAACAGGCAACCCTCCAAAGTCCTCCGCTCCCACAGTCCAGACTCCACCAGCGCTGCCCACGGGGCGGAATTGGGGAGGGTCCCGAAGCAGAGGCCGGAGCCAGCGCCCGATCCGGCGGCAGGCAGGGCAGCCGTCCATGCTCAGCTCAGCACGGCGGGGCTCCAGGATCCTCCTCCGGAGCAGTGAAACCGATGGAGCTGGGGCCTCTCCCTCCGCGCCTCCCCTCTCCATTGCCCCGACCTCCTCGGGGGCTGAAGCGGGGCTGCCCTCCCGCAGCACCGGAGGAGGAATGGCCGCAGCCGAGGGTCCCGGAGGCGCCTGCGCCGTCTGGCTCCCGGGGGGCGGGGCCTCCTGCCAGGGAACTTCCGGCGGAAGCGCGGCGGCGGCGGCGGCGGCGGCGGCCGAGGATGAGCAAGGCCTGGCGTCGCGCGGAGGCCCCGGGGGGCGGCAGGATGGAGGGCGGCCGGCGGGGTAAGCGGGGCCCGGCGGGGCGGTCGGGGGCGGCGCTGCCCGGCGGGGACCTGAGCGGCTCCTTCTCGGCAGGCGAGGCGGCGGCGGCGGAGGACCCGGCCGCCCACGGCGCCCACAAGAAGAAGCACAAGAAGCACAAGAAGAAGCACAAGAAGCGGCACCACCGGGAGGAGCCCGGCCTGGAGCCCGCGGCCGCCCTGCCCAAGCCGCAGCTGAAGCTCAAGATCAAGCTGGGCGGGCAGATCCTGGGCACCAAGAGGTAGGCGGGCCGGCGGGGCTCCCTCTTCCCTACCGGCCGCAGGAGGAGGAGGAGGAGGAGATCCTCCGGGCTGAGCTAAGCGGCCGCCGCTCTTCTCCCTGCAGCGTCCCGACCTTCAGCGTGATCCCCGAGAAGCCCCGGTCCCCCTCCCCACTGATGGGGGCGGAGGAGGAGGAGGAGGAGGAGCCCCCCATGGAAGGCGTGCCCATCGAGCAATACCGGGCGTGGCTGGGTGAGAGTCTCCTTTGGGTGGGAAGGCGCACAAGCAGCGGGTCCCTTCCATCCACCCGGAGGGGCTGCTTAGCCACGCTGGCTCTCCTTGTTGCCTCTGCAGAGCCGCCAGAGAAGCTCCCAGGTTTCACCCCCGTCAGATCTTGATGGTTTTCCTCTTTTGTCCTTCCTAGCAGGTGTCTGAGGCCTGCTAGGCTCTTCACCCTCACGGTCTGAGGCCTCCTTTGCTAACACCTAGAACCAAACAAGGGTTGAGGGTTGAAAGGAGGAGAGAGATTGAAGGGCTGTACAATTTGCCCAATGAGAACAGCCCCTTTTAGAGTAGAATTCCAGAGATAGTTATTGCTTGTTGCAGCTGATTGAGGAAGGCTTACTGATGTGGTTATTTTCTTAATAAACTTTCTCAAAGGTTTGCTGCCGTCTTGGCATCTCCTTGTTGTTCTTTGGTACTCATCCCACAAATTCTGAATTAAACACCAACATACAAATTAGCATCGGCACCTCCCTAGCCAGACTCGAGGTGAATCCTCTTCTCTCCGCAGATGAAGACAGCAACCTGGAGCCATCCCCGTTGCCAGAACTTGATCCAGAAACGGGCTTCCCAGCACGGGAGGAAGAAGAGGAACAGCGGTGGCTGGATGCCCTGGAGCGGGGGGAGCTGGATGACAACGGGGAACTGAAAAAAGAGGTGGATGAGTCCCTGCTCACTGCCCGGCAGGTGAGGAATTAGGCCTAGTGCAAGAATTTCCTGTGACCAAGAAGACCGCTGAGCAATGAAGAGGCCCTTTATCCACAGCAGCCTCAGTGAGTTCTCAGGTGGGGCAAGGAAAGAGGCTCTCAGGGGCCCAGCTACTTTACTCGGCAGCATGTCCCCCTCTGCCTCCTAGCAGCCAGGCAGGTGGCTCTTTTCCAGCAAGCCAGGTGGGAAGTCAGCTTCCTTCCTTCTGAACTTCAGGTCCACATTTGATCTGTACCTTCCTTCAGCCCCATGATCCCAGTTACTAGTTTTAAGAGCAGAGGGACATCCAATCTGGGTTGGGCCCAGAAATGAGGATATAGGGTGCGTAGCCAAGGAGGATCTGTACCACACCAAGAAGGCTTTAGTGGAGGCCCTTGGTTGGGATGCCATAGGGCACTGAGTCCTTCCTCTTACCTCTGCATCCCTTCTCCTCTTTCTGTCCACAGAAAGCCCTCTTGCACAAACAGCAGAGCCAGCCCTTGCTGGAGCTGCCCATGGGATACAAGGCCAAGGAGCTGACAGAGGAGATGCTGGTGAAGCGTGAAGAACGGGCTCGTAAACGACGGCTCCAAGCTGCCAAAAAGGCCGAGGAGAACAAGAATCAAACCATTGAGCGCCTCACCAAGACCAGCAAAGCCAAAGTGAAGACGCTGCGCGAGCGCAAGGCCAAAAGCATGGCAGTCCCCACCGTGAGCTACCGCAGTGCTGCCTCTGGGACCACCATCTCTTTCCCGCTGGGAACTTCCCTGCCCGTGTTGCCCTCCCTCCCAAGGGCAGTGCCTCCCCCCATGCCGTGTGGGGTTATTGGCTGCCCCAACCTCAAGCGGTACTCCTGTTCCCGCACTGGGACCCCCCTTTGTAGCCTGGATTGTTACAAAAAGAACCTGCTGCTTCAGGAGGTGCCAGGATAGTCACTCTGGTGGACAGTCGGTGCCAGGTGGTCACCCTGAAGGCCTCTGTGGAAGAGGAGTGCCAGCCCTGTTCCCAGGTGGCTGGGCAGAGGGGCAAGATGTGGGTGTCCAAACAGCCTGGGGACCTGTACGGCAGCCAGTTCAGCAAGAAGCACATCTCTGGCTGTGCACAGTGTGAGCCCCTTGGACAGCTCCTCTTGAGGCAGCGGCCGTGTCGGAAATGGAGGCTCTATTCCCTTTGTGCCACTGCAATGGGGAGGAGAGGGCAGGACCATGGTGTGTGTGTGTGTGTGTGTGTGTGTGTGTGTGTGTGGACTTGGGAGATGGCGCCAGTGGTGACAGGCATTATTTCTTGCCTTTGGGGGGGGGGGGGGGGGGGGGGGG